ACACACACACACACACACACACACACACACACACACATTTATGATAATTATCTCATAATCAACATTTCTACTGAATGCATTCCTGAAGGGTAAAAAAAACCTAATAAATATACACACTTGAGCTGATGCAATCTCTGAAAAATTAGTACCTTTCTTTGATGCTTTAGATGCAAAAGAATCTGCTTTTGTAATTAATGCCCTTGATTAATCAGTAATGGGCCATTAAGTTAACTCATGCAAAGAAGAACTAGGAAATTTAAAAAAAAGACCAGAACACTACTATGTTAATGATGGGATTAGAATGGGCCACCCCTAAATATGCCACTTTGGCATACAGATTATTTTGAGTGGAAGGCAGTTGAAAAACTACAGAGGAGGGATTTTCTGCTCTCCCCTTTCTGCCGAAAACCAGGGCATATATTTTGAATTGTAAAGGTGTTTACCTTTCTCCTACCAGGAACAGGAGAACAACTCTTCATCATAGCAAATAACTCTTACCACTGGAGACTTAAGTCTGCATTAAAAACAAACAACAACAAAAAACTTTAACCTTAAAGTTTAAATAACCTTAATGTTGCATTAATTTTCCAGATAGATAGAAATATATAAATATATACATATAGATATCTCTATACAGATCTCTCTATATATGTATGTATATGTGTGTGTGTATATATATATATATATATATTTTTCATAATTTCCTATTCCTAGAAACCAAAACCCCTTTATTTTCACCTAGTCATTTTCCACAATTTATTGACCTTCATTAAAAAACAATACATAAACTGGGCGCAGTGGCACACTCCTGTCATCCCAGCAGCTCTGGAGCCTGAGGCAGGAGGATCATGAGTTCAAAGCCAGCCTCAGCAAGAGTGAGGCACAAAGCAACCCAGTGTTACCCTGTCTCTAAATAAAATACAAAATAGGGCTGGGGATTTGGCTCAGTAGTCCAGTGCCCCTGAGTTCAATCTCCGGTATCCAAAAAAAAAAAAAAAAACTCTCTAGTCTAATGGCTTCTTTGATTGTTTACTTCTTTTTTGCAAAGTTCCTGTGTACATTGGAGGTAAACTTTTTCTTCTGTTAATTTGTCCTTTATCAGTTTAATTTACAGACACCAGGTGCAGAACATAGAGGGTAAGAAGAAAGGTTTTCCTCACCTACAGCAGTGCAACAGATGTTGGTAGAAGGACACCAACCAGCAGAAGAGCAGTCTTAGGACACACTCTCACATACTCGGGTATTTACTAGAGCTAGTAGAGGAGATGAGGAAGCTGGTGTCTTGATGATCAAGCCGATGCTTTCTTTTATCTGGGCCTGGATGTGTTTATTTGTGACACACAGTCTAAGCTCACACTGTATGTCAAATTTAAGTTACCAGCTAGGAATGTTTTCAGGAAAGAGTCTTCTGCTACTCTTGGTATCTCTCAATTCCCATGGCCAGAGAAAAGCAGTGTAGCCTTTTTGTTTGTTTTTATTTTTAACATATGTATGGTTTCCCATTTGATAAGCAGCACTATAGAAACATCCAGAGAATCCTGAGATGAGTTGGGCACGTAACAACAGGGACTCCTTGGACACTTAGACGTCAAGGGCTCCTTTTAAACACAGAAGCACGTCCTGCCATTAGGAGATTTGAAGATGCATGCAAAAATGAGATTTTTTTTTTAAAGGTTTTGTTTCCCCGGCAACCACTCTCAATTCAAGATTGAGTGTGAGCATTAGAATTCCCCAGAGGCACTCTCCCCCACCCACCCCTTTTCTCTAAACTGCCGTGAAGCTGTAAACTCTGAGAACTCAGAATCCTAACCTTCTTTGGGGAATGAAAGAGGATGCAGGGGATGGTTAAGAAAAATGTCAAATTCAGAAACACAAGATGCCTGCAGCAGGCAATGTATTTTGGAAACAGTTTGTGTAATAGAGACAGACAAAAAGCACAAATTGACCAACATATTGATAGTATTTTTGATAGGCTAAAAAGGTTGAAAAAGAAGCCATTCTGTAATTAGCTTTGTTTGTTTGTTTGTGTGTGTGTGTGTGTGTGTGTGTGTGTGTGTGTGTGTGTGTGCTGGGGATGGAACCCAGGGCTTCATGCATGCTAGGCAAATGCTCTACCACTGAGCCACACCCACCCTCTCTGGAGAGCTTTCAGTAGTAATTGACCTCAGTTGGTAAAGAGGCAGAGACAGCTGACCTTTTTAGAGCCATAAAGTAAATTTTTAGTACCTGATTGACAGATAGGTTGCTGATCCATTGTGGTTTAGCCCCAAATAAGCCACAAGTGTCCGCTGTTACAACAGCTCCAGAAATTTGCATTTCAAGCAGGGAAATCACCAGGGATTTTGAAATCCCCCAGGCAGTCAGTACCAACTGAGGATAATACATACATGTCAATTATGAAAAAGAAATGCTTTATAGTTGCCATTAAAATGTGAGTGGTGAATTCACCAAAAAAGAGCTGCCTTTGCTATCCGATTACTCTCTGAAGCAATGACGTTCCATGGAGTAGGGGGTCTTATGCTTGTTTTTAAAGTCTTTTTTTTTTTAAACTGGACCCCATGACACATGGCTATAATCCAAGTGACTCTGGAGGCTGAGGAAGAAATATTGCAAGTTTAAGGTCAGCCTCAGCAACTTAGCAAGGCCCTCAGCACCTTAGTGACATTCTATCTCAAAAAAATAAATAGTCTTTTTTTTTTCTTTTTCAAGGTGGTCATGATGCTAGTCATCAAATATAAATCAGAAGGAGCACATGCCCAATTTCAAGTTTGAAAACCAAAGTGATCATTGAACTCCTAAACATGAGGACATTTTCTTGGCAGGTAAGAGGTGAGAACTTGGTCTTTAAAAGAAAAATCCAGAGGAACATGTTCTTCATTAAACTTTCACTATTTCTATCACATTCAAATCCACATTCATCCCTTACTAGTTCCACCAATTCTATTCCTGAGAATTTTTTTCCTATGAATTCTAGATTATTCTAGGAAAGTGTGACTTCTGAATTTTAGGATATTTTGCTGTTTTCTTTTTATTGTTTTTTTAAATAAATGACAGTGGAATGCATTACAATTCATATTATACATATAGAGCACAATTTTTCATATCTCTGGTTGTATACAAAGTATATTCACACCAATTCGTGTCTTCATACATGTACTTTGGATAATAATGTCCATCACATTCCACCATCACTGCTAACCCCCTGACCCCTCTCTTCCCTTTCCAACCCTCTGCCCTATCCCATGCTCCCCTTCCCTACCCCACTGTGAGTCTGTCTCCTTATATCAGAGAAAACATTTGGCACTTTTTTGTGTGTGTGTGGGGGGGATTGGCTAACTTCACTTAGCATAATCTTCTCCAACTCTATCCATTTATTTGCAAATGCCATGATTTTATTCTCTTTTATTGCTGAGTAATACTCCATTGTGTATATATGCCACTTTTTTTTTATTCATTCATCTACTGAAGGGCATCTAGGTTGGTTCCACAGTTTAGCTATTGTTAATTGTGCTGCTGTAAACATTGATGTGGCTGTGTCCCTGTAGCATGCTATTTTTAAGTCCTTTGGGTATAGACAGAGGAGAGGGATAGATGGGTCAAATGGTGATTCCATTCCCAATTTTCCAAGGAATCTCCATACTGCTTTTCATATGGGCTGCACCAATTTGAAGTCCCACCAGCAGTGTATGAGTGTACCATTTTCCCCACACCCTCACCAACACTTGTTGTTTGTCTTCATAATAGTTGCCACTCTGACGGAAGGGAGATGAAATCTTAGTTGCTCTGTTTTCTTGATAAAATTAATCTATATATTGCTACTCTATATTTACTATGGACCTAAGATATTTTAGCTCAAGCCACTTCTCCCATGGCACCTACAAGGTGTTCAGACAACCCCTGTCAGCCATGCCCACATTTCTGATACTCTAACAGGTGGACCTTCAGGTTTTGCAAACCTGTCGTGATGGCCTAATAATTCTCTAGATGTGTAATGGCAGAGAGAAAGGGGAACAGGAAGGGGAAGATGTTTCCCAAACCCAGGGCTACCCATGCCACTTTATCCTGTGCTATGTCTTGATTTTACCATATAAATAAAATAATGTAAAAATTCAGAAGCTTTCTCCAAGCCGCATTTTAATAATGTAAATATCAGGTCTTCAGTAAAATAAGGGGAAATACAGCAACAGGAACATTTAGTGTCTGGGAAGGAACATAAGCAAGGAATTCACCAGGTCAGAATGGCCACTTAATTGAATGGGTATGTGTTATGGTTTGGATTAGAGGTATCCCCCAAAATTTCAAGATTAGATTATGAGAGCTGAAACTTAATCAATAGATTGATTAATTTGATGGATTACTAATTTGAAAGGACTATCATATTGGGTGATAACTGTGGGCAGGTAACGTTTGGCTGGAAGAAATAGGTCACTAAGTTAAGCTTGCCTTTTGTCCATAGTCTCTCTCTCTCTCTTTCTGTCCCCAGTCCCCTCCCACCTTTCTCTCTCCTTCTTGGATGACATGAGCTGAGCTGCTTTCCCCTACCACTCACTCCACCATGATATTATACCTCGCCTCAGGCTAGAGCAATGCAGTCAGCCAGATATGAATTGAACCACTGAAACTATGAGCTCAAACTAAACTTTTCCTCCTCTAAGTTGTTGTGGTCAGGTATTTTGCTGACAGCAATGAAAATGTTAACACAACAAGAGTTGGTACCAATCCTCCAAATTCATAGGGAGAAGAATATCGTGCTATGAAAAATAATGTCTGTTTTAAAAACCAAAAATGCTAGTAGTTTTATAATGTTTATTAAATTTGAGAGACAAGTAATTTCACAAAACCACAAGAAGGAACCACAAAAAGAGAAAATATGTAAAGCAAATACAGAAAACAAAGAATAAAAACAAAAGAAATAGTCTAAGGAATATAAGATATGGATGAATAAAAGAGAGAGAGAGTAGTTGTAAAGATGCCTCAAAAATCCAAAAGAACATGATCCCTCTTCTGCATGGACTGAAGTCAGGGAAACAGAAAGATCATTATTAAACAAGTTTAAAATGCCAAAGATAAAAACGACATAATTTCATAAACACTGATTCTTCATTCCTGAGTTTTAATGAAAGATTCTTATCATGTGTGTCTGTGGGCAACTCCAGAATAGATGGTGCAACATAAGAACCTTGGAATTTGGTATCTGGTGGGGGTGTTGAAAGAGATTTGGTTAAAATCCCTGATGGATAAGGAAAATAAGACATGCTTTCCCAGGTCTGGAAAGCTGTTTTCCCTCCATTACCATTCAACAGAAGTAGCAGAGAGAGTGAGGCCACAGGAAGGCCAATGGCAAGATAGATGCAGGCTGGCTCTGCAGCTGGGCGTGACTTCTGCTGACCTGGGGGTCCAGGAATCTGCTTGCCACATTGCTCGCTGTAACCTCAGTCTCAAATTGAAAACAATATACATTTTATGGCATGCCTCTCACTTTGAGAAATTTGGTGTAGGTTAGGACGATCTCATGAGTTCCTGCAATAAGCTTTCTTCAAATACTGAATATTTTCCTTTAGCAAGCTGAACAATTGAAGATGCTTTTGCAATTATTTGAATGTGGATCCAAACACATTTCAGACTTTTTTATTTGTAAAGAAACTATTTTAAGACAGGATCCAAATATTTTTTCAATAAGTGTCTCAAATATTTTTATCTGGCTAAGTGTAGGAGCGATTCTTGAGACCATTAGCCTTATTTCAATGATTATTTTTCAGCAAAGGGAAAGGGAAGTGTTTTTTTAAACTGCAGAGTGAAATAATTTTCAGAAGTGTGTTTCTTCTGAGAGCTTTCTCTGATAATGCTCAGGAGTTTTCTACACACTGACATATGCTGTCTCTAACACATGGACCAGTTTAAAAGAGAATGGATAAAAGAGGCCATCTCAATGTTCAAATTAAATTTTTTTCCATTACAAAGATAACACATGTTCAATCAACAAAGTTTAAAAATAAGTGTAAACAATGAGAAAAATGCTATTTGTAAGTTAGTTGTCATTAACATTTAGTTATAATTTCTTTAGTGTCTCTTTCCTGGGATAACTCTCTAACACCCACTGTTTGTCTAAAATTGTCATAAAATTGATTTTAAAATAGAACTGTAGGATAAGAGATATTAATCTGTGTGAGGTACTTGAATTATCTGGAACAACAAGTCAAATGTACTTCTTTCGTGTCTTGAAGTACTACCACTGGGTTTACTTTATCTTTGTTGTTCTATTACTTTTTTTCTTAAGCTCCTTACAATAGACTTTTAAAGTAAGTGTGTTTCTGTCCCTAAAAATCACTGTGTGATAATCAGCTTTTTGTTACTATAAGAAATACCTGAGTTAATCAACTTATCAAGAGAAAAGGTTTATCTTGGCTCACAGTTTGGGAGGTTTCATTTCGTGATCTGTTGGCTCCTTTGCTTTTGGGCTTGTGGTGAGGCAGCACATCAAGGTAGGGAGCTGCTTACCTCATGGCACCAGCAAGCAAAAGAGAGAAAGAGGAAGACCTGCACTTCACTACCCCTCTCAGGGCAGCCCTCGGTGGCAGGAAGGCCTCTTCCAGGCCTGTAGTACCAAGCTGGGGACTAAGCCATGAAGGACATTTCAGGTCAAACCTGCCTTCTGTCTTGTCTCCTCTCATTGTCTCTATTATGGGGTCCAATCCACCGCAATGGTCAAGTGCCAGAGCCCCACTTCAGGAACCTGTGCCATTCTTGCAGGGACTCAGACAACCAGAAAAAAGTGCCCTTGAAGGAAAGGAGAATTACAAAGCAGAATGATTTTCAGTAACTGTCCAAGAGGCACAGATTTGTTAATAAAGAGTTTCTTTGCTGTTAACTGTCATGTGAAAAGGAGGTTGTCAAGGGGGAGGCAGGAGGGGAGGGAAAGGGGAAGAACCAGGGAGTGAGACTGACCAGACAATGCTGTGTGCACACACGTATGAATCTATCCCAGTGCATTCTGCTTTTATATATAACTGTAATGAAGCAATTAAAAATAAGCAAATAAACAGAAAAAAAAGAGAAGAATGTTGTCAATTTAATACAGCAAAAAGTGGACCCAGAGGAAGGATACACTTTAGGAATCAGCTTACACCTACAG